TCTGAAAGCAGCAGGACATGAGGTCTTTTTTTTCTGTCTGCAGCCTTTGATTTAAAGTGTCGCCCTTGAGCGCGACTGTGATTATCAAATCAAGTGCAAAAGAGACCGAGCTTTAAAAAATAAATAAATAACTTCACACAAAGCAGAGCGGCGTCAGTTAAACCGGTCCTCTGTGACGTTTGTGAAAAGCACAAATCATGTGTTTAACAGCCGAGAAACGCTGCAAAGAAAATGCTTTTGTATTAAAAATAAATATAAGTTCACAAAGAAAGCAGATGTATGCATGTGGCATTTACGCCGCTACATCAAGATGGACTGTTATTTAATCATTTCATCGTAATCCAAAAGTATTTTTAGGGGATAAATAATAATTATTAAATTCAAACCATCTGCTTCTGGCTGCAGGAACAAACTGAGCCGTTCTGTTTGGTCACTGCTTGGCACACGTGTGAACAAAGCTGTTTTTTTAACTAACAAAGGGTGACGTTTAAAACACTACGTTCTCTCTTTTTAATCTGACCTAAATGTCCCAATGCATGTTTCAGTAAATATCTGAACCAGAACAGCAGATGGACCTAAAGACACCAACGGAGTCGACTCGTACTGGTCCCTGGATTTAAAACAAGGCTCTGGTTTTTATGGTTTTGATACCATTTATTGCAATAAATATTATACTTATTAATGAAACTAGCTTTTTTTAAAGTGATACATATCGCTCACCAGGGCTGTGTATTGGCAAGAACACAGCGTCACGATATATCGTGATATATAGCGGGTAAAATAAGTATTGAACACGTCACCATTTTTCTCAGTAAATATATTACTAGAGGTGCTAATGACATGAAATTTTCACCAGATGTCGGTAACAACCCAAGTGATCATACATACAAAGAAATCAAACCATAAATGTCCAGAAATGAAGTTATTTGTAATAATGTGGAATGGCACAGGGAAAAAGTATTGAACACACTTACTGAAATTTATCTAATACTTTGTACAAAAGCCTTTGTTGTCAATGACAGCTTCAAGACGCCTCCTGTATGGAGAAACTAGTGGCATGCATTGCTCAGGTGTGATTTTGGCCCATTCTTCCACACAAACAGTCTTCAAATCTTGAAGGTTTCGTGGACCTCTTCTATGAACTCTGATCTTTAGTTCTTTCCATAGATTTTCTGTAGGATTCAGGTCAGGTGATTGGCTGGGCCATTCCAGCAGCTTTAGTTTCTTTCTCTGAAACCAACTGAGAGTTTCCTTGGCTTTGTGTTTGGGCTCATTGTCTTGCTGAAATGTCCAGCCACGTTTCATCTTCATCATCCTGGTAGATGGAAGCAGATTTTTATCAAGAATGTCTCTGTACATTTTTCCACTCATCCTTCCTTCAATTATTTGAAGTTTGCCAGTACCATATGCTGAAAAACAGCCCCACACCATGATGTTCCCACCTCCAAACTTCACTGTTGGTATGGTGTTTTTGGGCTGATGTGCAGTGCCATTTGACCTCCAAACATGATGTGTATTCTGGCATCCAAACAGTTCAATGTTGGTCTCATCTGACCAGACTATATTCTCCCAGTATTTCACAGGCTTGTTTAAATGTTGTGCAGCAAACTTTAAAGGAGCTTCAACATGCTGTTTCTTCAGCAGTGGAGTCTTGCGTGGTGAGCGTGCATACAGGCCATGGTGGTTCAGTGCATTACTTATTGTTTTCTTTGAAACAAACGTACCTGCTAATTCCAGGTCTTTCTGAAGCTCTCCACAAGTGGTCCTTGGCTCTTGGACAACTCAGAAATCTTGTGAGGAGCACCTGGTCGTGGTCGGTTTATGGTGAAATAATGTTCTTTCCACTTCTGAATTATGGCCCCAACAGTGCTCACTGGAACCTTCAGAAGTTTAGACATTCTTCTGTAACCGATGCCATCATTATGCTTTGCAACAATAAGGTTGTGAAGGTCTTGAGAGAGCTCTTTACTTTTACCTATCATCAGATGGTTCTTGTGTGATACCTGGCCATCATTTGGGACTGAACCAGCTGATATTAACTTGCACTGACAAGGGGCAGGCTTGCTTTCTAATTACTGAGAGAGTTCAGCTGGTGTCTTGKCTTTCCATGCCTTTTTACACCTCCCTTTCTTCATGTGTTCAATACTTTTTCCCTGTGCCATTCCACATTATTACAAATAACTTCATTTCTGGACATTTATGGTTTGATTTCTTTGTATGTATGGATCACTTGGGTTGTTACCRACATCTGGTGAAAATTTCATGTCATTAGTACCTCTAGTAATATATTTACTGAGAAAAATGGTGACGTGTTCAATACTTATTTTACCTGCTGTATTACGTTACTGTAAGCAATGTGAGCTTAGAGATGTAGAAGAGTGCTGAATAAACGTGTGTGAGAGTATCCAGGTTGGATATAGTTCAGTCCATCTTTTATCTATTATTATTATTTGTAGTAAAAAATAAAAAAATATGCTTGTTCAATTCTTTTTAAAAATGTTCAGTTCTGGCGATCTCAGAACCCTGTTTGGTGTTTTCTGACCCACTGGCTCAATAAGGCTCAACATATGAAAATACCTCTAAATAAATTTAGCGTATTTTTACAGTTTTCTTCTGAAAAATCAGTTTGCGAGTCCTGGAGGCAAAGAAAACCTGGGTTTAATCCTAAAGAACTAAAACATATTTCTAACAGCTTTGTTTCCTTGCTTTTAAAAGTTTCATTAGAGGGCACGTCAGCCATAATAACATCTCTGTGTGAAGCTTCACCTCACATCGGACTCCCGTGACATTTCTGCCTCGACTGACACGAGATGTCAGTTTGAAGAAAAAAAAAAAAAAAAGCTCCCAGCACGGCACTTCAACAACACAACTTCTCTATAAGAGCTGAGAAAAAAATAAAAATAAAAACATGTCTGACAGTAAATAAATCCCCAAAAAGCTTATAAATCTGCTCGATGAAACTACACTTCACTTACAGGAAGCCAACCAGCTGTCTCCTCGTTATCAGTTTACAATCAGTGGATGAGACGGAGGACAAACTTAACACGTTCATGTCGAGCAGACGGTGAGACAAACTTCAAAAAGTCCACGAACCATCCCCACAGACTGTGGCTGTGTCCAAAACGACAGGCCGGGTCCTCCGSAGGACCCAGACTACCCGGTCTCGGCGGGCCGGGTCCTTGGTAGACCAGGAAGACCGGAAAAAAAGAGTCTGTGAATTTGGACGGTCTAACCTCCCCTCCTTACCCTGGCATACGTCTTGTCACCTAGCAACTGTGACGACGCTAAACAAGCAAACTTAAATCAAAACTAGAAAAATATCAATACATTAGCATTATTAATATCACAAAACTATAAAATTAAGTTAAAGGTAACATTAGAAGAACTAATTGACCCGCTGTAGGTTCATGTTTATTTCGCGTTTTTTTATGACGAAAAAATAATATTTAAAAACATGTCCATACAACCGCTAATTTTTTTTAATTTTTATATCACCATATTTTTATTTAAAATGTATTCTTTTCTCTCGCTTCGTCCGCCATTACTAGCTTAAAAAAATCTCCGGTCGGGCAGCAATGCATTATGGGATACGCTGGGCCGGGAAGGATCCATCAGACCTGTCCTTCGATTCGGGCCAAAGGAAGGACACATTTGTCAGCTGCATCGGAGGAGTCTTCGGTTTTGGACGTCCTTCGTCGCGGTGCTGTGACGTATGTGGCCGACAAATTCGACCTTCGGAGGACCCGTCCTGCCGTTTTGGACACAACCTGTGTCATACAGACACACTTCAAGATTTTATTTCCTATTCAGGATCATCTCTGTTCCAATCGATGAAAATCCTCCTCAACACAATTAGCATCAATCTGTCCTAAAACATGCAGATCTTCTCAACACAAGAATTTTATTTTTTAAACAAATCAGGGTTTTTGTTTGTTTGTAAAAACTTGACTTCAAATTAAAAGCTCATCAAGTGAAATGATGATGAAAACTGGGACCTAAAACACCAAACAAACTTTTCTAAATGCGACAGAAAAAGTAATATTTGACTGAGAATAAAACTATATTTGTCTTAAAACTTCTTAAAATGTTTTACTAAAATAAACACTTTTAAATCCTTCAGTTGGGTCTATATAAAGACGAACATTGCTTTGGTCTGAAATCCTCCTTATTGCAGCTCTTTCACCCCTTTTCTGAGGTGTGTCTCAGATCAACTCGTTTTGAGGCTGCCTCTTTAAATTTAAACGAGGCTTTTCACACCCCGCCCCCCTCTGCCTTGTTCAGCCATTTCTGTAGGTGTTTACGACTAAATATCGGCGCGGAAAGTTGCTTTAAGGCTTCAGCATGGTCGCTCAGCAGCCGACTGGACGACGCGCGGTCACATGGTTGGTTTTCGCACACACCTTCCATAGCCCCTGAGTCACACTGTGCAGCGCTCCTGGGAAACTCCTCCCACTGCGGTATACGTCACGGGGTTTCTTACAATGGAGTCTGAGACCAGTCACCTGATGTTATTTGTGCTCAAATCTGTCCCGGTTGAAGCTCCACAGTTTTTAAATCAGACATATTCCTCCGTGTACATCAAATACAAGCAACCAAAAAGGGCCTTAACGAAGAGGCATATAGATCAACATACAAAAGTAACTAGATGTAGGAGCATTGTCATGTTTGGTAATGAAAGTCACCCAGTATTTAGATAAAACATATTTTGGTGCCGTGTAGCTTTGAGTGCTATAAGCTCCAACGTGTTTTTAAGCTTGTTGAACCAGAGACGTTTTCATCAGCGAAGAATTGGCAGAAAACATGGTGAAAGACTCACTGCTTTGCTACGTCAAACTAAATAAAAATTGAGTAAAACACTGGGGACTGAWAAAAATGCAATAATTGTCAGCTGAGAGGCGGGGTTTGTCATGCACCTGACCATGCAGCCTCAACAAAATGGTTGAGTTTAGCTACTTCATTAGCTGTGCAATCCAAAAAAAAAAAAAATCAAACACAAGAGATATTGTCTTAAACCTTCTGAAGACAGATATTTTTATTTTTTATCTACTTTTTAAAAATTATCCTATCTCCTCCTGTTTTTGTCAGCACAGAGTGAAAATCCAGTCAGCGATGCTAACGGCGTCGTGCTACGAAAAGTAAAGAAACACGATACCTTGTTGACTTCCAGGATTTCTCTCCTCTCCTCGCTGCCGAGGTGGCCGTGCCCGCCTGAACGGTCCTCATGTTTGGAGCCGTCATCCTCCACAAAAGGGATCAGTTGCTGCAAGGGACAGAAAACAAAAAGCACAACAACGGTAAGGAAACACCTTCCTCAGATGAACAGCAACATCAGTCCTGCTTTTGTAACAACCTGCACTGTTTTGATGCTGCTGCCTTCACTGAACACGATCTGTACTCACTAAGTGCTTGTAAAGCTCAGATTTACGTGTTTTCAACGAATGAACCCTTTCTGCTGTCTTTGGGATTGTTTTTTTTTCCCTTTCTTCAAATCACGAGGCGAGTCGACTCATTTCTCTGTGAGAGATGGGAAACGGGGAGAGAAACAGACAGAGAGTGAGAGATTAATTCATTTTTAAAAGCCCCGTGTGCTTGACCTTGTCTGCTTGACACCACAGAGAAGCTGATGTGTTTGAGACTTCAGGGGGGAGGCTGCTAGGTTTTCTCCTACTGCCCCCTGGTGGTCTGAGCAGGAACATCATGAAGGACTGATCTCTAAAAACATTATTTAACACTAGTTTAAAGAACAAGAGCTTKTATCAGATAACCTGAACTACAAGAGTGAATAAATTTAAAAACACTACACCTTATCTTTTCATTTTCAAAATAAAAAACTAAAGACCTCAAAGAAACTCAGAACACAAGTTAGCTCTAGAGATGTGAGATTTCATCAGATGAATTAGAGCACAACTCAAGGCCCGTGGGCCAAATGTGGTCTTGAAATGTCTGAAAAATAAGCTGTTTTAAAGCTAGCATTGTTGCTGCGTTCCAGTAGTCCTGGGAAGTAGTAATTTCCCAGTTCCCATTGGTAGATTTAAACTGGAACGCCCTTAAACTGGAACGCCCCCTCCAGTGGTAATATTCCACTCGTAAAGTGGAAGAAATTAAACTGCCCCCAGTTTCGATTTCAAAGTGGCGGCTACTCGCAGCTTTAGAAACTCCGTAACTTTTACTATTAATGATCTTGCTTAACTTTTCTGTGCAATTCTGTACGTGTTAAAATCAATGTTTATTTGCACGACGTATGTAGGAGGGCTCTCTTTTTGTCCTTGTTTACATTGTAGCAGTGTTGCAGCTAGGTTAGCGGCAGCTGGAATGCAGTTTCATATGGTTTGTTGGGAAATGACGTCACTACTATTTACCAGTTCCCGAAATACGATGTAAACAGAACGCAGCATGACTTTAAACTACATCTCCCATGTCAATTATTTTACTCGTGAAATTATGGAATCCCACCACTAGGTGGAGGAGCACAGGGTTCAAAAGAAGCAGACGAAGTTCACTGTGAAAAATCTATTTCGCTGATTTGGCTAATTTTGTTGCGGTCCAGTTGTTCTGGGAAGTGGGATTTTCCTACTTACAAATCTAAATTGGAATAACTCTCCAGTGGGAATCCCTTGTTGGAAAGTGGGAGAGTTCAGACTCAACAGCTCAACAGTAAGTAAAGCTTTTACTTTTAATATTATTTCTGTTTTATTTGTTTCACATTTAGTCAGTGGTACACAGTACTTTTCAGTCTTTATAAGAAAACACTGTTTCTATGCAGGAAATACCACATAGAGCTCAGTTGTTTGTTAGCGGCGCTCAGCTAAAGCAACAAGAAGAGGAATGTTTTTTTCGAAAGTTAAACACAAAACGTTAAATTTAGAGGGCCATGAGTTTGACTCTCCTGGTTTAAAGCTCAGAGTGCTTCAGGGGCGACTCTACGTTTCTTCGAGGGGCGACTCTACGTTTCTTCGAGGGGCGACTCTACGTTTCCTCCAGGGGCGACGCTACGTTTCCTCCAGGGGCGTTTCCTCCAGGGATGACGCTACGTTTCCTCCAGGGACGACGCTACGTTTCCTCCAGGGACGACGCTACGTTTCCTCCAGGGGCGACGCTACGTTTCCTCCAGGGGCGTTTCCTCCAGGGACGACGCTACGTTTCCTCCAGGGGCGACTCTACGTTTCCTCGAGGGGCGACTCTACGTTTCCTCGAGGGGCGACGCTACGTTTCCTCGAGGGGCGACGCTACGTTTCCTCGAGGGGCGACGCTACGTTTCCTCGAGGGGCGACGCTACGTTTCTTCGAGGGGCGACGCTACGTTTCCTCGAGGGGCGACGCTACGTTTCTTCGAGGGGCGACGCTACGTTTCCTCGAGGGGCGACGCTACGTTTCCTCCAGGGGCGACGCTACGTTTCCTCCAGGGGCGACGCTACGTTTCCTCCAGGGGCGACGCTACGTTTCCTCCAGGGA